AATCAACAGTTTTGGAACTATTGGGCATAATACAGTGTGTACTTTAACAGGTGTGACAGACATTCGCATTTAGTGACCTTGTTACTTCTAACTATAATGTTCTTCCAACTCACAAGAGAAATATTGATTATTTCTCATAAATGCATGCTTAGTTTTATACTTTCAATTAAAAATGTATTATTATACAGTGCAAAATACATCTGTTTTAAGAAACATAATACTAAAAAATATAAATAATACCATGGATTCATATAATAATGCAATGTAAGTAGTAAATACTGTGATAAAAGTATAAAATATTTGCAAAATTTTAATATTTTGTAAGTAATATTTTCAAAATGTTACATATAAGAAGTGACATGTACTGTGCATTTGTTATCATTTTTAGTTTTTAATATAGAGAGTTTAAATAAAAGTAAGATATACTTACACTTGAGGTGAACATTTGCGAACTAATAACATCATTGTTGTTAAAATTCCCAAGAATAAAATACCAAAAACAACTCCAGTAACAAGTACAATGTTTATTTCAGCATCTAATGTAAAATGGAGCATATAATTAATTTAATCATATTGATTGTATATAAATTGTATATAAATTGATGTATATAAATTTTTTATGGTACTTAAAAAGTTATTGCAAAAGTATTTCTTAAAATTTGAAATAGTACAAGATAAGTAAATACTAACTGGTTTTTATTAAGAATGTTGTAGAATCAGAATATCCACCATGTGTAAAAGCTCGCATTCTGATATGATACCATGTATTTGGTTTAAGAGGTCCATTGCAATACACTCTTTTATTAGTGTTAGACGAAATTTCTTTACAGTTTGTATCTTCACCAAGTGTATACTTTACAGCTTTTACATCTCCATAATCAGCAACATAATTAGCTATAAGAAAATATATGTAATAATTTATATATTCTTAACTAAACTTAAATCCTTATTTTAAAAATTTATCACCTACGATAAGGATCCCACCATAGCCTAGTAGCTTGATAAGGTATCATAAAATCTTGCAACATAGCTTCTTCCCAGGAAGATATGTTTGGCCATGTATGATTTGTTATATCAAATCTAATGCTTGATGGCATGTTATATTCAACCCTTGATACTATAATAGAATAATAAACAACATTGCCATTTATATCAGGAAATAAAGGAAGTAAAAGTGTAACTGATGTAGTAGATCTTCGTGCCTTAAATGGATCTATAGTTATAGACGTACTACCAGCAGGATATAAAATGTTCTGATTTGCTGGCACTCCAAAATCTTGGACTCCCTTAACTTTTGCAGACACTTCAAAAGTATAATTGTACTCTGCTTTTAGCTCTTTTAAATTTACTGAAATTGTATCATTTTTTGAAACATCATTTGAAAGATACTTTTTAATAGTAAAAGAATGAGGTGTATAAGTAGTTCTAGTTCCATGTACAAATATATTAAAATATTCTAATATTCCATTTAAAGAACATGGGAAAGCCCATGTCAAAATAGTATCCAAAATATTTGTATTATTTTTGCTATTCATGATTAAACATGAAAAGTTAGATACCATTCCTGAAACTAAAAATTTTTGTAATGATATGATCAAATTAGATGTTACTAAACCTGTGAGCATTTATTGTTTTATGTAATAACTTGTTACCTCCAGCTGGTGTTTGAAATATTAAATCATTGCTATAATTTCCCCAACCTGCAGTTGTCCTAGCTCTAATTTTTGCTTTATAATTTGTATATGCTTTTACTTCTGAATATTCAAAAGTAAATATAGATCCATTTAAATATTTAATAGTTTTTAAAGCTACTTGTCTACACCAATAAGGCATAGGAAAACATATTTCCCCTTCAACTACAATTTCAAATTCGTGTAAATTCCCTGCTAGATATGTTGGTAATTCCCATACAAATATAAACTGTGAATATGTTATGTTTGTAACATTGAATGGAGGTGCAGTTGGTACTAAAATATTAAATAATATCATAGATTATCATTAGTATTATTTGTAACTTTTATTGCTTTTTTTATTATTAACAACAATTAAAGCAGTGTAATGTAACATTTCGTGTAATATTAAACAAATTTATTTTCTTCATACATATACATAATTTTCATGGATTTACTTTTACTTACTATCCTCCAATGTTGTTACACTTATTAAATTACTTAAGTCACTATTCCCTGCTTCATTAACAACATATGCCCAACATATATATGTTGTGAATGGACTGACATCTTTTATCATTGAATTTACAATAAGAAATTCATCTTGAATACGGGAATCTATAGGCACTTCAGTCTGTCCATTCATAATGTCATAACCATGTCCATTGCTTATTGTAGCATTACACATAGCTTTTAGAGATTTTAAAATACAATTGCTATTGCCTTTTTCAATTTTCCATGAAAGCATTATATCATTTATTGTAACAGTAGGTTCATTGGTATTTAACAATGGTGATCTTGATACTAGAAAAATGAAATGCAAATTTTGATTTAGTTTTAAGCAAAACTACTTCATGTTGTAAGTATAATGTTTATAGTTAATTTTTTACCAGTTGGTGCTGTTCCTGCTTGCATACTGACTCTTTCTCCATCATTATTATCTTCATCTACTGCATTAATAGAAATGGAATAGGAAGTACATGCATATAAATCATTTATTGTTATATTTGTACTAGTTATTTGTTTTGTTATTAATTGTGAATTAATAGTAACCCAGTAATGCTTAATGCACATTGCTCCTACTTCTGGTGGTTGCCAGTGGATGAATAAAGAAAATGCACTGGCTTCTACAATTGGATTTTGAGGTTTGCTTGATTCTAATAAAAACAATAATAATTGTTTTTTAATTAAAAACTACAATGTTACTGTACTAATTCAAGGACATACTTGGTGCATTTGTTTTTAATGTAATATTTAAACCATTAGATTGAGCTAGAAATGAAACAGCTCTAATTATAAAGAAATATTTCCCACATGGTTCTAGATTTGTTGAAACATATTTCGTTTGTATAACTGTCACATTATCACAAGTATCCTTAAAGCATTGTGTAATTAAGTAATTATTTACACATGTTGAATAATTTTCTGGTTCTTTCCAAGTTAAAGTAATTGTATTCGTAGTGGTATGTACCCCTAACTCTCGAATGTTCCCGATTTCGGTAACTAAAAGAAGTAAAATAACATTATAACATAAAAAAGTTTGATAAAAATAATTGAAAAATGATCGATTCTATATTGTATGTTGCCTTTGAAAGTAATTTTTCTAATTTCGAATAATCTAATTGAATATACATTAGAAGAGTTTTTAATTGTTGAATAACATTAAAGTACAGCAAAGTTAAGTAATAATATCAAATATCATATCAATATTATGTTTTTACTATGGCTGGTCGTTCCCGATTTAGTAACTCCATCCGAATTATTGTTAATGACTTTTACGGTAAATTTATATTCGCTACATGGATCTAGATCAGTGATATTATATTGCGTATTGCTTGCGTTCTTTTCAAAACATTCTTTTTTGGAGCATATGTCGATCGAATACACAAGCGATTCATTTGCAACATTCTCACAAGGAGGTTGCCAACAGAGAAATATCCAGTTCGTACCGGGCTCAATCGTTAAGTTTCGTACGTTCCTTTTATACTGATCTACGAAGCAAAAAATGAATTGTAGAAACATTAATTTATACTTCTTTTTACCACAACAATTATACCTGTCGTGTCACATGCCAATGATTCATCCTCCAACGAAATTTCATTACTTTCTAGTTTGTTGAGTGAAGTGAAAACGTGTTCGAATTTTTGAATGAAATTGTTAATCGTTGGATCAGGAATCGATACGTTTGCAGCGTTGCTTTTCGAGTAATCAACCAATAGGAGCTCATTTTGATCGAGTTCTATCGTTTCGTCTGGAAACTCCTCGATACCAATTTTAGAATCGTTTATTCCGGAAAATGTTGTGTATTTGATGTAATCGAGCGGTAATATTTCCGTCGATGCTTCATTTCGTACGAAATTACGAACGAAACCGTTCTCACTGAACACGCAAATGACCTGTAGCGCGTGGATTAGCACTTGCAATCGTTTTTTCCGTATCATGTTCGCCAGAAGACTGCAAATTGATGTAAGATTTCATTTAAAGATATTTCAAATCGTCGAAATCGAAGATAACACGTAAATGTTTTTATCTTAATTAATTAACAGTGCTAGCTGTGGCGTAAGATTTTTTATGATAATTTCATTATATATTTACACGTCGAATTGGTAACACTACTTGAAACGATACACAATATACTCTAGATCTTCAAAGAGATTGTTCCATATCGCAACCAAAATAAAAACAGACATTACGATTTTCTTTGATAAAGTTGAAACAATACTTCTCAATTTTTTTCACAGAAATATTGAATATCGTTGATGCTTCGAATTAATCATGCAAAACTGAAACGTTCTATTAATTGTCATTGAATATAAATTCTATCTTTCGTTTAATGCCATAATGTTAAAAACAAAGAAATTTGACGGATGATGGGTTTAACTTTGACTAACGCGCTTTATCAAAGTGCAAGAGTATATATGCAGATTATATTAATCTTATCGTCAGCGTGAATTTTTTGCGTATAAAGTGATATTTATTGTGTTGTTTAATAATCGAAATATTTTAGACATTTGAAATATCAAATAAAAAAATCAGAGTAAGAAATTATGTACTTCGTTTCATATTTCAAAACATATTATGCAAAATTTTTCCTACACATGTATATTTGAAACCTAATAATCGAAATGTGAAAGTTAAAAATAGTAAAAGTTAACAACATCAATTTTGGATATTCACATTTTAAATAATCACATAATCTACGTTTTATTTTATATCATATTTTAAAACATATATCGCAAACGTATTTACACTACGTCGTTTAAAACTAAGCTCGTAACATTGCAAAAACTCTAATGTTAAAAATAAAATGTTATACAATGGGAATGTTTTTTCCGTACAAAACAATATTTCATGATTGATCGATATGTTATTACTCACGTCAATCATAAGTTGTTTGGTAATATTTTTCCACAGTATACTATGCTACAAAACGAGCTCAAGATCCTCTATATCATCTATATAGTCCCCGTAAAAAAGGATTCTTCTATTTGATTTATTATTCACTAACACATCACAAACAAGTGTTCTATCTTTTTTGTCGAAAACATTTTCGCACACCAAAAAATTGTTCTATTTTATCCACTTATTTAAGAAAGAATCAGTTTATTCAGAACGAATACATAAGAACACGCTGGTTATTGTTAATAAAATCGCAAAAAAATAAACATTCGAATCGGTGATATGAAGTAACGAAAATATAAAGCACTATTTTGAAAACGCGATACGTCAGCTATTTCCTCGATTATTATTCTGACCACTTACCCACAACTTTTCATTTATCCCCCCTGGTCATCAATATCACTGATAAGAATCTTAAATCCATTCTAAACTCACGTAAGTGCACTCTGCACTACTTTATTAATCAAACATAAAGATAACATTTACCACGATTTTTTTTTAATTTTTTCACGCAATTCTTTATCCGTTTTTCTTATTTTAAATGCAGTTTTTATAGAAATTAATTTTTCGAAATTCCTGAAATTTAGAATAAAAGATATATCGAGGAATTTTAACGGAGTATATACGATTTATAATTGTAATCGCGATTATGGACAGAACTGATAAGTTCATTGCACGGAAGTTCATATATTTTCTATGAGCAATAAAAACGTTATTAATGGAAATGAAAATATGATATCTAATCATAGCTTACTGTCAGCTACAACAATGATTAATAGAAAGATTTGTAATATCTAAACGCTTTTAAATTTATAATATTATATCAGTCCTTAAATATATTATACACAATGTTTAATTATATAATAGAATTATATTTGTTAAACGTTGAATTGTTTAATTAAAATTGGAACAAAAAATACATACGAAAAATATTGTTTTTTTCTCTTCACAATTTAGTTCAAATTCACTTTTTAAACGTTACTTCTTTCATAATATACATATAAAAAGATGATCGTTCCTCTTTAAAAATGTTTCTAATTTTTAACAAACAGCTAATTTTATTATAATAGAAATTAAATTCGATTGTAAAATAAAATAAGACGGGATTATGCCCTGGAATCTCCGACCAATTGCATCGACAATTACTTATGAAGCGAAGTAAAAGAACACGTTTCTTCTAAGGGAAGCATTCGAGGCACTTCTCTTAAAGTATGTCAAAAATAGTATGCTTAGCCTCTTGAACTCTTAAACTTGTATACAACTACATTTGTGTTTGTAGCAGATGAGTAACATGTCTCTATCTTTATAAGATAAAAGTTATAACAAAGCTAGTTTTGTTAATCTTTTGTTTATTTTTTACTTATAGCATCTTACATTTGTAACATGCTACAATATATGTATAATATACTCGGTGAAAAAAGCATGTATATTTACTAGGTATATGTAACTAATAATTTATATATTATAAAATGTCTGTTTAAAGATTAACGATAATATTATTGTAGGAATGTATATCTTTTCACAAAAAATGTTTATTGCACCTCTCAAATCATTATTTTGGAAAAAAAGATAGAGACTGCTGGGTAATAAATTATATTCAGAATTTCATTTTATTTCTTTAACGTACATCAAAAACATTTATACTAATTTAATTAGTACAGTCTTTGAGGAGGTCCCATGGAAGATTTGATGTGAAGAGAACGTACGTTTTGCCAATGTTTCTTCAACAACGAAACCAAAAAATTAATGGAAAGATGTACATTTTGTACCAGTTCATCTGGAGTCATTTCTACGTGTCCTACTGCCACTGATAGACATAACACCTGAAAGGATGTTCTTTGCATTACATAAGTTTTTAATTCTACTTTAATAAGAATTTACAGTCTAATACATTTTTGATAACATAATAAGTATATAAGAAAATGCACTTATTCTTCGTTAAAAAAAAGTATATACATACCTTCTTCATTTGGAATTTAATTGTACCTTTCACCTCATCAATCTTTCCCACCATCGATTCTTGATGAGAAAGAAGACCAGGGAATTTACCAGCTTTGTTCAGACCAGGACCAAGAATACGTGGAATTTGTTTAATTAAGGATTCACTAGCCAAGAAAGCATCATATTTTTTAGCTGTAAAGAGAAGGCACAAATTAACTTAATGCAAATTACTTAACTTGATAGAAAATTAATTTAAGTAGTGTCTCGACATGGATTGGGGTGCGAAGCAATGAAATACAACGTCCTCACCTTATGAAGAATTTAATATCCTTCCACTTGACAACCACTGTTATGAATTATAAATTAACAACGGTGCTTTTGGGAAGGTACAAACATAAAAGAAATAATACATCTCAAATTACCTAGTTTCTTTACCAATTTTTTGTTTTTATTTAATTTCTTCAGTGCCTCTGCATCCATATATGGAATATTATTAGCTTTAGCTTCATCGCAATGTTGTTGGTCACCCAAAACACAAACTTGCATTTTTGGTCTTGGGATATTCTTTAACCTTTAATAAATACAAATTATATGGGTAATGAGAAAATAAGTTTTCATCATTTCTCATCATTGTTTTATGCAAATTAATTTAAATATAATTCAAAACAAAAATAAAATTTATAATTATTCTAATTGTATAAAAATGAAAATGCAATTAATCAAAGTTAATGTTCTCAGTAACATATATAACTACATAAATTATTCAGATAATACATGCAGTATAGTTTCCATCATTGAACATTGGTTTCAATAGTTAGATTAAATAGTCGCCACAACTGAATATTAACTTACCAGCAGGATCATGAGTCATGATCCTGTAATAAAAATAACGGTAAAAAACCTCCCCAATTTATTTAAGACCCTGGGTAAAGGTCCGCCAGGTAAAACCCAGCTTCCTGACTATATATGAGGCAATCTTTTCAGGTGTTAGTTAAAAAAATTATGTTATGATAATCATTAAAAACCGAAAAAAATCCTCAATGTCAGGTTGAAACATACTTGACGGTGCCTGAGAAACGTTTGTCCTTTTGTGGATCATAATTCTTCAAACCAATTTGGAGTTCCACTGTTTCTAAGAATTTCCTCTTTACATCATGTGAATGTTGGATAACAGCATTTACACATTCATAGAGAGTATCACGCGATACTTTGGACCTGTTAATTAAAATTATTATAATCAAAAATTTAGCTTCAAATAACTACTACTACACAATTTAATCATGTATAACCTATACCCAATATATAACTGTAACTTTCTCTTGTAATTAAATATTTAAATTTATATTTGAATTTGAAGTAGTAAAAGCTCAATGTTAAATTTTATTGACTGATAAATTAATATTAATTTTAGTAATGCCAATACATTGTTTAAATTATATAATTTTAAGACAGTATAAAATAAAGTTACTTCTATTAAAATATAGTAAGAACCAAAAGATTTTATTTTTAGTTAATAAGTAGTTTTATAATTCATTTTATAAAAGGTTCTTAGAAACATAAATATCTTTAAGAAATGTGGCCAAATATAAAGGAGTATACATACAAAAATTAATGCAATATAATGAATTGAAGTTACGTTTATTATAAGAAAATATTAGCAACTACGTTAAAATGATGTGTTAAAATAAGTTTTATTTGTAATATTAATAAAATAAAAGTTTGGATTACCAAAATATGAAAAGATGAATACTCACGTCATTTTAATATTTCAAGCAACACGAGGACTAACGGAAACAGAACTGATCCACCATCCGACTAAAACGGAAAAGGAATTTAACAACGTGATCAAGCTAGATGGGTATAATTTTTATAATTATATTTTAATTATATTTTCAGTTTTTATAGCATTGTATTTCCACTAAGATTTGTTATGTATTTTAGATTTTCTAGAATTTTAATGATTTTTATTTTTTTAACTTTTTACTGTTGTAAGATTGTTACAATCTGCATCTATCATTGAAATAAATAAAGGATATTAGTTAGTAATTCGATGTCTACTAGATGATTTTTATTTATTATTGAATGTACATTTATACGTAATATTAACATGTATAATGTTACATAAATTATGTTTCATGCTTTAAAACAAAAAATAACACATTTACATAAAGTGGGTGTTCTTACAGCTTATTCTTGTAAACAAAACCGATAAATAGGTCCATGTTTTGAATTACTTCATAAATGACAGTTTTAAGTAATTTAATTATGAAGAAATAATAATTATTCCTGTAATCCTAAGAGATAACAAATAATAGAGATGATAGTTTTATAGTTAATAATAATCAAAAGATTTTTTGAGGTTAATGATGTATATATTTATTTACTTATGACAAAATTTCTTAGAAATAAAGACATATGTAAATACATTTGGCACTCAAGTATATGTATTTTACATTAACTCCATGAAGTATGTAGTATCTTTTAATGTGCATTTAAATATTTCTATGGTTAAAATTAAACTAATTATTTAAGGATAATCTTTTTGACATTACTTAATAAAAAAATTTGTTTTATTTTGTAGTTAAAGATGTGTCCAGCACTTTTGGAAAATGAAGAACGATGTTTTGGTGGAATGACATTTTTTGCCCAAAGTCATCCAGTTGAAGTTTGTGGTAGTAATGGTTTACCTCTTACACCAAATTCAATAACAATATATGGAAAATCTCAATTTCTGAAAACTATTCATCACCCAAATTTGTCTACATATCTTGATATAATTAGAAGTAAACATGGTAAAAATTATTATATTTAAAAGATACAAGGACTAGAAATGCCTCTTTTGATTATGCAATAAAAATTATATTTTTTGCAGAACGGATAGTAGTTGTTACAGAATATAATGGAGATCCATTAAGTAGTAAAGAAAATTTAAACATAGATGATATTATGAAAATAACATTTCAATGCTTGTTAGGTTTGCAACATATGAATATATTAAATTTAGTACACAGACATCTAAGTTCTGAAAATATATTAATCAATAAGAGTGGAAATGTGCAATTATATAATTTTGGTTTATATTATATGACGGATAATGGAAAAAATGTTTCTTTTCCAATTGGGTATGCTTTAGTAAAAAAAATTATTTGAATAAAACTTCAAACATGTAGATATAAACAGAATATAAATTAAATTAGTCTTTTCTAGTAGTCAGTAGTTTTATGTACAATACATTTGTTTATAGTTACCCAAAATATACAGCACCTGAAGTATTTTTAAGTTCTGGTATTAGTAGTCCAAAAGTGGATTCTTGGTCTTTGGGTATAATTATTTCAGAATCCTTACTAGGAAAGCCAATATGGCCAGGTGTGAAATTATCCCAATGTTTGAGAAAGGTTCTCAGTTTAATACACTGTGAAACTTCAATTTTTGAGCGTCTTGCAAGAGAAAATAGTTGTTATGAAATTTACAAGGTAAAATTTTTTGATAGTACAATTGTATACTTAATGACATAAATCATTTTTTTTAATTTTAAAAAAATTAACAATCGTATTACATTAGGATTTACCTGATAAGGTAAAGGATTTTATAGAGTCTTGTCTTCAAATTCATCCCTCAAAACGTAAAGTACCGGAAGAATTATTGAAACTGCCGATATTTGAGGAATTTTTATTAAAAAATGAAAAAGAAAAAGAAGACAATCTTTATAAGAATGTTATTGTTAGAAAAATGGATGAATTATATTATTTGTGGCAATTAGCTGGAGGAGATATCACAGTGGAGCTAAAAAAACAAGGACTTATTAGATCAAGACCACCTATTTTATCTATTCCAAAGTAATTCTAAACATTTTATAAATATTATGTTCTATAAAAATGAAATGCAATTTATTAATTTCTTTTTTAGTTTAGTAATACTTTTAGGTCAAATGTTTGGCAGAAGAGACACAGCAGGCTTACTTGATTTACGTGTAGTTAAAGTTCCTCTTGATACACTACATCAACGTTTATCTCATATCCCGTATATAGCAAATTATCCGTGGTTAACAAATGAGTAGGTATAACAAAAATACATATATGAAATTTATTTTTTTTTTTTTGTAACTATATTAAATGTTTATTAATTTTTTTGTAGGATGCGCGTTCAGTCGCAAGAAGATTTAATAGATTCTGCTTCACAGTTACCTCTAATTATAAGAGAAAGAGATACAGAATATCAATTTTATAGGATTGTTTTATATGATAGATTACTACAGGTACTTGCATTAATCTAAATTTTTTGAACTTTGAAGTAATTACAGTTATTTATTGTCATTTTGATATTTATTTAAGTAAAAGGTATGTAATTAATAGACGTTTATCAAAATAGAATTTTTTCATAGGAAATATTAAAATATTTTTTACACTACTAAGTTTGATAAATATAAAGTTTCAATTTAAGTTTATTTATGTATTATTATATTTTAGGTTTATCCAATTACTCGGGAAGCAATCATTGAAGAAGCACATAAAGATATCCCCCCACCTGTTAGAGGAGCTGTTTGGGCCGCTTTACTTGGTATTATTGGTGATATTCAGAAACGTTATGATATGATTGATAAAGAAACACCCACTCACACAGATCGACAGGTAATTTGCAATAAATTATATTACATCAGTTATTTTTATACATTAGCTTATTAATAATTTTTTAGATAGAAGTAGACATACCAAGATGTCATCAGTATAGTGAATTATTATCATCTGGTGCTGGCCATGAGAGATTACAAAGATTGCTTAAAGCATGGGTTCGAAATAACCCTCACTATGTGTATTGGCAAGGATTAGATTCATTAACAGCTCCATTTCTTTATCTTAATTTTAATAATGAAGGTAATAAATTAAATAAATTGCATATTTTATATGTCCTTTATTTCTATGTTTATTATATAATATTTTAATTTTAGCTAGAGCATTCGAATGTCTGTCTGCATTTATACCAAAATATCTTCATAAATTCTTTCTAAAAGATAATTCTGCAATTATCCAAGAATATTTAGGAAAATTTTCACAAATTATAGCTTTCCACGATCCTCAATTAGCTAACCACCTTAGATCGATCAATTTTGTACCAGAATTGTTTGCTATTCCCTGGTTTTTAACAATGTTTTCACGTAAGTTGTTTATTATTAATACTTGAATTATATAAAATTGTTAACATGTTATATTTGTACTTAAGCACAGAAATTATTAATTGATATGTATTCTTAAATCTTTCCATTTTAGATGTATTTCCTCTTCACAAAATACTTCATTTATGGGATAAATTGCTATTAGGAGATTCTTCATTTCCACTTCTAGTCGGGTTAGCGATATTAAAACAGCTGCGCGACTCGTTATTAACTTCAGGTTTCAATGAGTGTATTCTATTATTTTCTGATCTTCCTGAAATTGACATAGAATTATGTGTTAAAGATTCTATGATGATGTACCAAAATACACCACCTAGTATTACTTATAGAAAACATCAATTTAATCAACCAAAGGTATAAAAATAAATTTGTATATACTTCTGAATGTTTTTATATATATTTTTCTATTTGTATATATTTTTGAATATTTTATTATAAGTTCAAATAAGAAATACTGTGTTACAGGATATAAATTGGTCCGAACTCGAACCGGGGACCGAAAAAATGCCAAGAATTAGCGTCGATGACTTTTTAAATTTATTAGACAATAGTCCTGAGAGATTAATAGTTGTAGATGTACGCAATAACATACAGTGAGTACTTTATTTGTAATGAGAAAGCAAATTTAGCTGAAAATTTATTATATGTCTATCTTTATAGATTTGAAAGAGGTGCTGTAGTAGGTAGTATTAACATTCCATTTACAAGTGTACAGCTTTCTCAAACTCATATTCAAACACTTGGACCACATGCAAAACCACTTGTAGAAAATAAAAACAGTGTTGTTATAATTATCGGACCTCATGATCAAAATAATGCACTGGTAAATGTTACACTATAAAATTAATTTCTTTTTTTTTACTGTTAAAAATAAAATATGTTCTGTAGTTTGCAGATTTTCTGGTGAAGTGTGGAGTTGTTGGTGTATGTTCCTTACAAGGAGGAATTTCTGCCTTACGGTCAAAATCTCCAAACGTTATAGTAGCTGCACGTTAAAAATATGTGATTATCGCATATGTTAAAAATTCGAATGTGTAAATAATTGTTAGACAACATGATACTTTTTTAATAATGAGATTATAAATAAATGATAGTAAGCATAGAACATGTATAAATAAAATGATTAAAAATTTTATACTACATAAAGCATGCTATAGTATCTTCATCCACTTCAAGTGGTAGCCATAGAAACTGAATCAAAACATTAGAATTGTAGTACACAGATTTCATTTATATTTAAGTACTATTTTTAGTCACCATTAATATAATTGTGTAAACACGATTTAATAATTTTTTAACCATGGAAGGTAATATTTCTCCAAATTTACAGAAGTGGATAAAAAAGTGTTTGAAAAAAGAATTTGAAAGTAATGTACAAAAGTCATTGGTGGAAGATCTGAACTATGCTGATATAGCTCAAAGAATTATACATTCAAAAGAAATGTCTACTTTAGTGAATTCTATGAAAGTTACAATTGTTGAACAATCTGCTTCAAGATCTGTATCAACTGCAATTTCTGATTCACGACCTCAGTCATCATTTTCTTACATTAGTGATCAAACAAGTGAAGATTGGAATTCTCCATTAAATAATGATGAATGTTATAATCTTATTGTTGACAAAATTAATCAAGATAAACCTGCTCATGTTAGATTAGCTGGTTACGAAATGTTATTAAAAAGTGAACTATCCAATTTAAATAATAACCCCATATGGGATTCACTTCAAAAAGCTTTACTAGATGGTCTTATAGATGAAACTAGACCTATTTTTGAAGCTAGTTTACAAGTGCATGCAAAATTGCTCACTTGTTTACAATCACATGATGTACATATAAACTTATTGAATGCTTTTGATGCTCAATACCATTCACAAAAAACATTTGAAGTATTACCTACATTAATTGCTGGAATTAATTTTAAGTTTTTTTTACATGAAAAAGTATTTCGTATTATACATTTAATAATGTGTTATCATGAAGAAAAACTAAAAAGTGCAAGAAATCCTGATAAAACCATAGAAGAATTAATAGAACAATTTATGACATTTTTGAGTACTCATGAATTTGGAAGTATAATGCAACCTAAAACATTGAATGTATTGAACATTATTTCTGTATTAGAACCACGTGCTGATTGGAGTAGAAAATGGATTGTTAGTCTTGCTACTAGAAAAATGTTTTTGACTGCCTTGGAAAAGTCACCAAGTTTATTACAACAAATAATGCACTATGTACAGAAAGGATTGGAAGAACTTCCTTGTATCATAGCAGTGTCTATTTATGATGATCCAATGGAAGTTATCATTAATGGGAATACAATACAAACAGTAACTTATCTTCATTGTTTATGTTTTATATCACAACTCTGTGCTTATGAAGCAGGCCGCAAACTTTTAACAGAAATTGCATTTGAAATTCCATTTTCAATTTCTAAGTTCTTAACTGCTTCATTGAGAGCTCTAAATAAATTATCTGTGGAAACGTTAAATGGTGTATATGATGTTTCTTGTTATGCTCTACAGCTCATTTTAGATAAACCCAGAATTTTATATGATTATGAGTTTTATCATATTGCATTATGTCATTTACCTTCTCTATCTGAAAAAAACATTAAAATATGGTCACACACATTAAATATTATTTTGCACATGTTAGACACTATAGATGGTTCTCAATTTCTTATATCAGAATGTAAAGAACATACAGTAAATTTCGAAAATAGTGTGCCAAAGTGTCCAGCTATGTTTATTATAGTAATAGCATCAAATATGTTAAGGCAACCTTTCTCCATAATGAATGTAGAGTATCTTCTTAAATTATTTGAAGTAATACAAAAGTTATTTGATGTATTTGATGTGTATGAAATTATACAGTATAAAGTAGAAAAGGAATTTTACCCTGCTGTATCATATTTCTACAGGAAATTAGATAAATCTTATTTTGAAAATGAAAACAAAGCACAACAGATAAATAGGTAATTTGTACTTATATACTACCCACTTTTATTGATGAAATAAAAGATAGTAACAGATAATACTAATAATATAAAATTTTATTTGTAGTGCAGTTAACACTTTATTACTTAAAATGGTTTCAATACCATTTGGATTGAAAGCTCTTGTTCAGGAATCGTCAGTGTTTCAAGAACTAATTGAAGGGTCTATTGTACCTTTAAGAATGTCGTGGACATCAATAGAAGTAGTCAATTTTGTATCATATGCTGCGTTTTTTCAATTGGGGTATAATGTAATTGCTAATCTTGCACCCCATGTTTTGTCTAATTTATTTTCAGAAACATGTAAAATATTAGAAGATCCACATTATTTTCATGATCCATGGGATCACGAAAATATTCAGAAGTTTTTACACATATTAACATTTTTTTCTCTTAATTTTAAATGTAAGAATAATAATAAAAAATCTTCATTATGTCACTTCACTTTAATATCAATTTATTAATACCAATTATGTATTTAAAATTTTGTAGGTTTTACTGCATTTATGACAAACTCAAAAGAATCATACAATAATGAAGAATACAATTATCCACTTAATTTACCAGAACTGTTTAATAATTCAATAAATCCTGAATCAAATTATCATTATTTAGGACTTTTATCATTAGATGCTGTAATTTGGAATTTAAATATTTGTTTATATTTAATAAAATTAT